TTATCCAAGCAAGTAGCAGACGTGGCAGTGATACGAGTGGGTTCGTGGAAGACATTACTCAAGTCAAAGGATTGAAATAAACTTATTAATTTAGTTTTTGTGGTATTATGTGATAAAATGTCAACATTGAAATCACCACACACTATAATTTTTTTGTTAATATTAAATACTCTTTTTAAAATATCCTCCATTACCTCTTCAAATAAATTATAATCACTATTTGGAGGTCTATAAACACATATAACTATATAATTGTCTAGTTCCACACAGGAAATTTCAATACAACATTCAACAGAAAGATTGCCAATATCACTACGTTCTTTTACTTTTATATTATTTTTCACCAATATCATAGAACCTCCTCTATTTACTATTTTTCTATTAAAGCAGCTGACAATATTATAATTGTTTAAGCTGAACATCATATTGCTCACTTTGAGCCAATGTTCAGTTAAACATAGAACATCTATATTATTTTTTTCTAAAAACAATTGAATAATTAATTCACAGCCGAGAAAACTTTGTATGTTCTGGTGAACAATTTTCAATTCTGATAGCTTTCCCTTTGTCTTTTTCAGCAGTTTAAATCTGCAGTCATATTTAAATTTTTGTAAATAAAAGGATTCTTACTAGAATCAATATTTATGTCAATATTTTCAGTATGTTTAGTATTAGTACAAGTACTACTAATTGGATTAATGCAACCCATTATATTACTTATAATGGGGTCATTTATATTATAAGCTAGTAAACTAGCTATATTTGTTATTTGTTTTTTAGGCAGATAAAATCTATCTCCAGTCATACAAAAGTTTGTAACAAATTTGTTACTATCAAAAAATAAAAAGTCATTATGACGACATGTCATATTATAAATTAAATTATTAATATAATATATGAACTTATTTTGTTCAATGGTCAGAGAACGACAGTAAGGAAATGCACATAATATTATTTTACCTATGCCCAGCTCAGCAATATTAAGCAAAGAGTTTACAAGTTTAATTACATGACTTTTTTTTACATATAAACAGTTGCCTAAAGCAATGACTAATGTGGTTAACTTATCATACCTACCATTAACCACCTTATTTAAAATATTAGGCAATGAAGCACCAGGTAGACAATTATTTATAACATGTTGAGATAAACTTTCTGATAATGAACGGCCCAAACCCTTACCATATTCATCTGAATAAATAATTGTCCTTCGTACTGGTGCAACATTACAATTATCAGTTTTTAAAGACAAGTTAGAATTGAGTAAATTTGAACAAGGAGTGATTGACTCAGTCAAGACTGATGTGATTGACTTATTGTTATTTCCATTAGGGCTATATTGACAAGATTTAGGAGATTCAAGTGTCTCACAACAACATTTCTCTGTCAATGAGGTGAACCGCTCCATGTTGTAATTACCCAACTCTATTAATTTATCCAGTGATTTACTATAGTTATTAATTTCATGTTGAGCACACTCATATTTATTTGTTAAATTATATAATAAAGATTCCAACTCTTGAATTTTACTCTTTAATTTATTTTGTTCTAAATCCTTATCATGTAAATTTGTTTTACAATTTTGAAGTTCTTGTAACAGGTCTAATTTTTGTCTTCTAATATTTATAGATTTTAAACATTTAGTATGAGTTCTCACTAACTTTTCTGACTTTTTAATAAATTTGTTTATTTTTATATATTTTTTTAATTTATTGACACTATTAAATTTACTAATACTATTTGAGCTGGGTGTATTAGTTAAATCTATGGTCACCAACGGCTGAGTAGCCTTTTGATCACAAGTGACATTTACCAATTCTGTATACAGATCTAAGGTGTTATTATAGCTACTCACCCGTTTATGTTCCAACATAGATTCACTATGTGCTTGTGCTTCCTCAAGGTGTCTCTCGAGGTGAGTGATACGCTGTAAATTTGACTCATATGTGTCCCTGCAGTGATCATATTCATTAACAAGTTCCTGAAGTCTATCCCTGTCAACGCGTAGGTCCTCACAGAACACATTAATGTCTACAAGTTCCCCCTTCAGGGCCACATAGTTGTCAAATAGAGATTTCATCTCTATTTCACTATCATCCGTTCCTGTAACAACACTTTATTCAAGTCTTGGGTTTTCTTTAATTCAACGAGTGCCACCTTAAGTTTAGCATCAAGATCACAGGCTCTTCGGGACATCATTATTAAATATGCTGAGTAATTAATTTAAATATAAAGGAACTTAATGGAATTTAGAATGTGTGCTATTTCCTTACAATTTATTTATTTATAAATATATAATACCTATGTAATATGTAATATGTAAGTAATTTTAGTAAATTTGTTAATTATAAATAACAATACTGAATATTCTTACTTGTAAGAATGGGTTTCTTGGGGTATTACACAAGCTCAAATAATAGAATTAAAAACAACCAATTCTAGAAGATTCAGTATTGTTATTGAAATATATATAAATAACTATTTAAATTAGTGAAAGTTTCACTCTCTTGTTGTGTATTTTAATGTAAGAATTAATTATATTTCAGTTAGTACTTACAATATTTGGTTAGTGGGTAATTATTTTTTTTCCTCGACGCACAACTGTAATTCACTTTTAAAGTTACCACAAAATTAACATGGATTACAAAATAAGTAATAATAAAGGAATGTTATAATAATTTAAATTGAATTACGCGATAACATGTACAAGATTGATGTAAATATAAGTTTATTACGAACTTTGACAGTTGACCGGTAAGAAATATTTATGTGTCGATTTTTGTACACAAATACTATATAAAAATGAACACAAACAACAATCGATACTTTTTATAGCTTAAACTCACTAATTATATCAATTACACTAAAAAAATTGAGTAATAAATTAGATAAAAGTATTTAATTATTAGGGCCAGCTGACAAAGACTTTTATCGTTAATGTTGCAATTCGAGGAAAAAAAAAAAAAAAAAAAAAAAGAAAAAACACTTATATATACTATAAACTTCGTATCACAGTGTTAGTTGCCATATTTCTCCACCATTTTGATGAAATTTGATATGTATACTTGCTAGGTCTGAGGTAGGGTTGTTATCTATTTTTTATACCCCTAAGTCATAGGGGTGGCCTACCCTGAATTTTTTTTTTTTTTTTTTTGTATTATGGACAATTTTTTATTTATTTATAATGTTACATACACGCCTAAATTTTGGCCCGTCTTTCACCAACCCCTATTTTTAATAGCGATATTCTTACAAATATTATAAATGCTAAAGTAACTCTGTCTGTTTGTCTCGCTTTCACGCCCGTTACACGTTAGAAATGTGTAACGGGGGAACACGTTACTTGGTACGAAATTATGTATATTACAATAAAACTTAACGAGAAAATATTATAATGATGTCACTGGAACACTCATTGCTTTACTACTATACCGTCCATTAGTCGCGAACTTTCTGGAAGCGCGAGAGGCGCGCTCCTATTGGTCCGTCGGTGCGGTTACCGCACAACGCGCATGCGCTGTACGCTTAGATGAGTCTCACGGCACGGGCGTAAGTACTTACTATGTAATATGTATACATATGGGTGTCACAAATGTTTCTATTACAAGTAGTATTACTCTATTATCTAAGCCAGTAATGTGTGCTTATTTTGAACTTGATAATATTCAGAATTACTTGTATACATAACTTTCGATATCTACAATAATAATATCATTGATGTATGAAAAAAATGTATGTACCTACATTAAAAGATAATTTTTGACATGTATGAAATGTAAGTACCTACATTAAAATATAATTTTTGAAATGTATGAGATGTATGAAAGAAATGTATGTACCTACATAAATATTTAATTTTTGAAATGTATGAAAGAAATGAATGTACCTACATTAAAATATAATTTTTGAAATGTATGAGATGTATGAAAGAAATGTATGTACCTACATAAAAAGTTCATTTTTTAAATGTATGAAATGTATGAAAGAAATGTATGTACCTACATTAAAAGATAATTTTTGACATGTATGAAATGTATGAAAGAAATGTATGTACCTACATTAAAAGATAATTTTTGACATGTATGAAATGTATGAAAGAAATGTATGTACCTACATTAAAATATAATTTTTGAAATGTATGCACCGTACAATAACAATACACGTTAAACATCATACCATAGAGTCATACGCAAGTTAAAAACAAACTGCTATGATATTAATGAGAAAGGAAAATCAACTTTATGATATTCGAGTTAGGGTTGATTTCTCTCTTTTTTTTTAAATACTATTTTAATCTTGCCAGTATTCAAAGACAACTACGATTCGTACTCGATATTTTAAATTATTATGTAATCGATTTTTAGTACAAATGTAAATAACCAACGACACTAATAATGTACTACTATATTCCGTTCTTTGAAACGGAACACTGCTATAACACATAATAATGAAAATTTACTGTTCACAACGACTCATTAAAAGCATCATCGAATAATGCGCTGTAATAAAATCCTGTTATCGATTATTAAAAAAAATCGATAATACATGTATTTATTTTTCATAAGTATACTTCATACATAAGTATTATTGGAAATAGTATTACTTGCTTGTTCGGCTATTTTTAATTTACTTAAAATTTTTTTATATGTTTAATTTACAATAATGATATATTAAGTGCTTATTATTGGAAAATATAAAAAAGACATTTAATTAGGCCGATACAAATGACAACAATGCCATCTATGAAAGCATTTTGAAAACATTGAGCCCCGTATTAGCACTGATTAAATTAATTAAGTACTGGAAAATAACAAAATGAGTAAATATATGAAAATTACTTTTCTAAACGCATTATTTCATTTTAACATGTATATATAACTTTTTAAAAATTGATTAAACATTTTTGTAAACACAGTTTTGTTTTTTAAAACGTTTGCAAAACTATGAAGAATTCCATCGATACCAATCACGCCATCTATATGCAACTTTTAGCAATAATAATGGCTACTTCCTCACGGATTGCCACTGGTAATATGAAACATCATTCGATGTTGCATTTCGTTAGTAACACTGGCAGGCCGTATGCACAAAACGGCCGCGACCGGTCGCTCGCCGCACCCGCCGCCGCGCCACTAGCGCCGCTCGCCCCTGTCGCGCCGCCCGCGCCGCTCTCGCCGTATGCACCGCCGCGTCTCACTGATGCACCGCGCGCATCACATTATAACTCACAGATAGCGAATACTAGTAACGCGACGGCCGCGGACATTGCGTTATGCAGTACACAACTAGTTAACAAAACCACTCACAATACTATTTTGTTGGCGACCGCACGAGTTATTGTTTACGATGTTTATGGTAGGGAATGTTTAGTTCGCTGTTTATTAGATAACGCTTCGCAAAGTAATTTTATTACTAATAGTACATGTCAAAAATTGGGTTTATGTAACCAACGCAAGACAAATTTATTAGTAAAAGGTATCGGCGGGACGAATAAGGCTGTCGACACATTAGTAAATATTAAAATACACTCTCGATTTAATTGGAATATTTCGTACGAGTTAGATGCATTGGTAGTGGATAGGATTACGGAACGTTTGCCTAATATGACTGTAGATAGGTGCATGTTGTCTGATTTTGACGTGTTACCATTGGCTGATGACACGTATAGCTGTCCAGGTGACATCGACATGTTATTGGGCGCATCATTGTTTCATCATTTATTGCTTACAAATAAAATTGAAGGTCAGTTAGGTTCTCCCTACGCTTGGGAAACCACGTTAGGATATATTGTTGTAGGACCCGCGCCTGCTACTTTTTGTAACAACACTGTAACGACGTGTTGTGCTATAGTATCGAATTCTCTGGACAATTTAATTAAAAGATTTTGGGATTTAGAGGAGATATACGTACCTCCTATTAAAAGTCCAGAAGATAACGCGTGCGAAAAATATTATAGTAGTACTACAAAACGCGACCCGATCAGTGGTAGGTATATTGTGGCTTTACCATTTTGTAAGGATCCGTCCACACTGGGCGATTCTTATCAGTTGGCTAAAAAACGATTGTTATGTTTGGAACGAAAATTAATTGCTTCCCCCGCATTTAAATTAGCTTATGACGATGTCATTCTCGATTATATAGATAAGGGGTACATCTCACCCGCACCTACGTTGGCGTGTGAAGATAAATCGCTTTCATACGTTATACCGCATCATGGAGTGGTTCGTGAGGATAAGACGACCACTAAATTAAGAATTGTTTTAGACGCTAGCGCGAAAACTACTAGTTCCATTTCATTAAATGATATTTTGTTTTGTGGCGAAAATTTGCAGGGTAATCTTTTTGATATAATAATTAATTTTCGGTTATTCGCGGTCGCACTGTCCGCAGACGTGCGACAAATGTTTTTGTGCATAGAGGTTCGTGAAGAGGACCGTAAATTTCAACGACTATTGTATCGTTTTTCACCCACCGATCCCATTGTTACCTATCAATTTAATCGTGTTTGCTTTGGTGTTAAATCTAGTCCGTTTCACGCATTGCGTACAATTAAACAGCTCGCTGAGGATGTTGGAGACTCCTTCCCGCAAGCTAGGGATGTTTTAGAATTAGGGTCATACATGGACGACGTAGTCCATTCAGTCGACTCAGAGGAAGAAGGGGTAAAATTGTCCACTGAGATGATCGCATTTTTTAAAACAGCTGGATTCAATTTAGTTAAGTGGACAAGTAATTCGCAAATAGTTCTTAACTCAATTCCTATTTCTCATAGACTCGCGGCGCTTAAGGAGTTTGATGAAACTGACACCCATAAAGTTTTAGGTTTATCTTGGTCGCCCCGCACAGATTTATTTCGCATTCAAATAAACCCGCCTAATGAGCAGTGCACTAAGCGCGCTATATTGTCATGCGTAGCTAGGTTGTGGGATCTAATGGGTTTTTTGGGACCTGTGGTTTTATACGCAAAGTTACTTGTGAAACAATTATGGTTATTGAAGTGTGATTGGGATGACGCGCCGCCTGCATCGATAGTAAAACTATGGAACCAGTACCGTAGTGAATTGCATTTATTAAATAAAATTAGTTTTCCGCGTCATGTTGATATAACGAGAGATAGCGTCGTTACTGTAGTAGGTTTTGCTGATGTCAGCGAAAAGGCATATGGAGCAGTAGTTTATTTGCATGTTAGTAATAACGGAATTAATAGCGTTCACTTGATGTGTTCAAAATCTAGGGTTTCGCCTACCAAAACGGTATCTTTGGCACGGCTAGAGCTGTGCGCCGCATTAGTACTCGCAAAACTCATTAGAATTGTGTGTGACACTTGTAGTAAGCGTCTCACTATTAGCAATGTTATCGTATTTTCTGACTCAACTGTGACACTTTGTTGGATTTATTCGTCGCCCCATAGATGGGATATTTTTGTTGGCAATCGCGTATCTCAGTTGCAGTCTTATTTAGTACCAGATAGTTTCCGTCATGTTTCGGGTATAGACAATCCTGCTGACTGTCTATCGCGCGGATTGACACCCGCACAAATTATCGATCATCAGTTGTGGTTCCATGGTCCACCCTGGTTATCGTCGAGCCCTAGCGAGTGGAAGATAGCGGAGTTCAATCCCACTAGTATATCGAATCCTCCCGAGGAAAAAACGCAAGCATTATTAGTTTCTGAAATCGAACCTAGTTTAATTTTGTTAAAATTAGCAGATAAGTTCTCGTCGTGGTCTAAATTGTTAAGATGTATTGTTTATATTTGTCGTTTTGTTAGACTGCTCCCGCATCGCAAATACATTACCGCATTTGATTTACGCTTGGCGGAGTATAAATTAATTAGGCAATTGCAGAAGTTTCACTTTTCGCATGAAATTAAAGCTATGCAATCTGGTAAACATTGTAGTATCGCATTTCGTAGACTGAAACCATTTTTTGAAAATGGTATTGTACTTGTTGGTGGACGTAACATTATTCGTAGTCGAATACATAAGTGTAACCGTTGCTTTAGATTGCGCCCTAAACAAGTTTTTCCCGAAATGTCAAATCATCCCGCTTGTCGTGTAACGCCATCCGTTAAGGCATTTATTCATACCGGTACAGATTTTGCTGGTCCAATAAAGGTAACACCGCACCGTGGCCGTGGCATACGTGCGCGTAAAGCGTATATTTGTTTATTTGTGTGTCTAACCACTAGGGCTATTCACATTGAGTTGGCTTCTGACTTAAGCGCAGCTTGTTTTCTATTGACGTTTAAGCGTTTCTTATCTCGTCGCGGACCAGTAACGCATTTGTATTCGGCCAACGGGACGAACTTTATAGGAGCTAGAGGATATTTAGATGAATTGCATAAACTTTTAGTTTCAAAATATTTTAATTCAGAATTTTCGCACGTCTTAGCTGAAAATCGCATTGAATGACATCTTAATCCCCCAGCGGCCCCACATTTCGGTGGGAACTGGGAATCTAATATCAAGAGTCTGAAGAGTCACCTATATAAAGTAGTAGGAGATCAGATTCCCTCCCGCTCGGACCGCGATAGCGACAAGACGTGTTCACTACTAATAATTATTTAAAAATTCTTTTCAACAAATAGTGAGTCATATTTACTGTAACCTGTTGCATCGTCCAGAATAACAAGAACTATATTACAATACAAGTAACCAAGACAGAGAACTCAGTATAAACCGGTTTGAACTATCTGTGAAGCGTCTATGCGACTACAGAAACTTTGAAGTGACGACTTCAAAATTTGAAATATGCCTAAAGTTATTCGGTCACCTCCAGTTAGTGAAATCCAACATACTATGTCAGATTCAGACGTAGTATCTATTAAGAAAAATAATCCAGCACCAGTCTTTCAAATGCACCGTTCCAAGCGACGAAGAGGTTCTCCCGAGGACAAATATCCCTCGGATGATATCAAAAATATGATGTCTGAATGGAAAGAAAGCCAAAATACGATTTTGAATAAGCTCGTTGCTGACGTTGCTGTAATTAAGCTACAGAATTCTGAAATAAAGGAATCAAACAAAGATATTGAAAAATCACTGGAATTCATAAGTTACCAATATGAAGACATGCGAAGGAAAGTAGAACTGTTAGAAAACGAGAGGAAATGTCATATCACTCAAATAGCGGTACTGAAAAATAAAGTTGAAGAAATGCAAAGAACCTTGAAGTCATCATCTATTGAAATTAGAAACCTACTAATCCTGAAAATGTAAAAAACTAAGGAAGAATTGTGCAATATTGTACAAAACACTTGCAGAGCTATAAATGCCAGCGTCTCTAATAAAGATATAAAAGACGTAGTTGTTTTGAATGAAAGAGGAGATAAAAGCACTATTGTCGCTGAATTCACCACAAGTGTCTTAAAATATGACGTTATCAGAAGCGCAAAAGAATATAATAAGAAGAACCCGTCGAATCGTCTGAACACTACCCATATCGGATTAGATGGCCAAATAAGTGCCATTTATATTTCAGAATCCTTAACTAGGAAAGCAAGAAGATTATTCTATTTGGCTCGAGATGTCGCAAAATCTGAGAATTGCAAATACTGCTGGTCTAATAATGGCAAAATATACCTAAGAAAAAGCGAGGATTCACGTCACATTGAAATCAAGGATGAAACCCAGCTCACAGAACTAAAAAGTGTTCTATGACTAGGTATGATTAAGGTTATTTTATATACAATCAAAATTATTTATTTAGTTTACGTATATTTTAATTATGCTAAGTTGATTTCCTACTGTAAAGCTTTCATTTACAAATCTAATAGACATACAAATGGAACTAAATTATTATATGCTGATGTGTTGATTAGGATATATACATCAATTATTTTGATTACGTGCACACACATTTATAAAACTAACTCATATAAATTAAGCATTACTCAAATCTCTATTCTATATTGTGTAATCGATATACCTAAGTCAATTAAGCAAAATAATCAAATTCGATTTTTTAAACAATAGCAACTTAACTGAGAATATTGACAAAATATCGGCGGGAGAAGCATATTTGTGTGAACCGGAAACTTGTAAATTAAGGTTAAAATCCCAGCATCCCGACTGTAAAAACATAATAATCATGACCCAAAATATCAGAAGCATTTCTCAAAATTTCACTAATTTTGAAGTTTTATTGTCAAGGATTGATTTAGATTGCGAGATATATATTTTAACAGAGACATGGAATAGCAAAACAACTCACTTTCCATCTTTAAAAGGATATAACACATTTTATTCTAAAAATAACTATAATAAGAATGACGGAATTGTGGTATACACAAAACGAGGGCTAGATTGTTCAGTAAAGGAGCATATCTTGACTGACGCCTCATGCGTTGTAGTAGAGTTAAAACCTGATACTGTTATAATAGGTATATACAGATCCCCCTCATTTCAAAATATTAATAATTTCATTAACTCTTTAGATAATCTCTTAAACAGTTATTCTAACTACAAAAATATTATATTAATGGGAGATATAAATATTGATGTAAAAAAGAGCCACAGTGACAATAAATCATCTGATTATCTAAATCTACTGGCTAGTCACGGTATTATGATTGGTCACGTATATCCTACCCGTGAAAATAACTGTCTTGATCACGCAATGATCAAATCAAGATTGCCCATAACTACTGTAGTTTTAACTGCTCCCTTGACAGACCACGCAGGAGTTCTTGCTTCCATAAATCTAGATTACAAAAATAAAATGGAATCAAAAATTATTAAAACAAGAATTAACTACGACGCAATCTACTCCCAAATTGATCAAACTAATTTCGATTGTATAACGAATTCAAATGATGCTAATTACTCCGCTGATATGTTTGTAGATAAACTTTCTAGTATTATCCTAAAAAACACAACCACAATTCATACACCTAGAAAAATGCAATGTACCAAACCGTGGATGACACCAGGGCTTGTACGATGTACTAAAAATAGAGATAAAATGCACTTGAAATGTAGAAAGGAGCCTACTAATGAAGTGTTGAAAATTAGTTATAATCGTTATAAAAACTACTGTAATGATTTATTGAAACGGTTAAAAAAAACATATGAAGGAAATCAACTAAAAAAATATGCTAACGACCCTAAAAAGACTTGGAAATTGATTAAAACATTTACTAATACGGAAATAAAAAAAACACCTCAAATGGACCTTCTTAGAACACATAAAACTCCTGAGATAGCTGTAGATAACATCAACAAATACTTTGCTAATGTGGGTCGAGACCTTGCTAGCCAATTGGAAGGACAACCATGCTCATACTCGCAGACTCCAAAAAATACTTCGAAGTCTCCTTCAAATTCCATGGTTATGCTAGGAACATCACAACATGAAATTGAAAGTCTTATTATGAATCTCAAAAATGATTGTGCAACTGGCTGGGATAACATATCTACAAATATCCTGAAAATGACAAAGAACAAAATAGCCCCCATTCTAACACACATCTTTAATCTATGTATTTCGAGCGGCATTTTCCCTAAAGTGTTTAAAATATCTATAATACACCCTATCTATAAGACTGGTGATCCAGACTGCACTTCTAACTATCGTCCTATTTCAGTATTATCAGCGCTTTCAAAAATTCTAGAAAAAATTATGAATAGGCAATTAATGTTATTTTTAAAAGGATTTTGAAAAGGAGAATGTGTTATCCTCGAACCAATATGGCTTTAGAGTCGGCAAATCAACAAGCGAAGCAGTTTCAAATTTAACGGAATATGTTGCTTCCCAACTGAATGAAAAAGATAAATGCATTGGCGTCTTTCTAGACCTAGTCAAGGCGTTCGATTCAGTATCCATTCCAATTCTACTGAACAAGATGAATAAGATCGGTATTCGAGGTAATGTACTGGCTCTGTTTAGGGACTACCTTAGTGATCGTACCCAGAAAGTTAAAATAGGTAGTTATTGCAGCTCTGAAGTTTCTGTATCATACGGTGTCCCTCAAGGCAGTGTACTTGGTCCAAGCCTTTTTCTCATATACATTAATGATTTGTGCAATCTCGATATATCTCACTGTAAAATATTTACATTCGCTGATGATACCGCCCTTATATTTCACAATCAGACATGGGAGCAGGTTAAGATGGTATCAGAACTAGGTCTTCGGAAGGTTTTTCAATGGCTCAAACAAAACGTCTTAACACTAAACACTTCTAAAACTAAATATATCACCTTTGCCCTCACAAAACAACAAATATCAAGTATACAGAACTTTTCAATTCAAATTCATTATTGTGATAATATACTCAGTGATAAATCAACATGCAATTGTAGTAATAACTTGAATAGATCGGAAACTATAAATTACCTTGGAGTTCTTTTGGATGAAACACTGTCATGGGCACCACAAATCGACCAACTATCTCAAAGAGTGCGAAGACTTATTTATGTATTTAAAATTTTACGTCATATAGCTGACTCAAAACTGCTGAAAACAATTTACTTCTCACTAGCCCAATCGATATTGACCTATTGTATAACTTCATGGGGCGGAGCACACAAAACCCGCATTATAAAGCTAGAGCGAGCTCAACGAGCTTTGTTAAAAGTAACTTCTTTCAAAACATTTCGATATCCTACTGCACAACTATACACGGACTTTAATGTTCTGTCTGTTCGAAAGTTATTTATTCGAGACACCGTTCTTTCTCAACACTCCAAGCTCTATTACACCTTAGAACCAATAACAAAACGCCGAAAACATAAGGTCTGTATTAACATAATTAAAAATACACCTAATTACGTAAAAACTGAATTTATGCGTAGATTCCAGTATTACTTGGGACCGATGTTATATAATAAATTAAATAATATACTTGAACTTTATAACCTAAATTATATTAATTGTAAAATGGTGTTAAGCTCCTGGCTTAAACCGCAAAGTTATCATAGTATTGAAGACTTGTTTACAATAATTCAGTAAATATACATATATATAATAATATTATAAATCATGTTTAACTTATAAACAGTTTGTACATTCATAATGTACATAACGTGCTTATACTTATATAACTTAGTATATAAGTAATATTAGCGGTTCTAAATAAATAGCAAATGTGTATTAGTATTTGTATTAACAGACTAATTTTATTGTGTGTACCGTGAATCATTAATGAATATTAAACAACTTGACCGTTATTCGAAACCCAATAAAACATGAGAGTAGCATTTCCGTTTCCGCTTTCTGAGAATATAGTGCCTATCTCTTCTGACTAATATTTCCCTACCACTTTTGCCTACCACTGCCACCACCAGCGCCATCTAGCGAGCTAAGTTTAGAGGGAGCGATATTTTATTGTTCATTGGCGTTAAGTTTCCCGTTGAGTGCAGACGGCAGCTACTAATAGCTCGACGACTCCAGTTAGTGCCTATTGGATCGTGTACCTTTAATATAAGTAAGAATCTACCCACATATTTTATTATTATTTTTGTAATCACAGTTACGGTTTATTTCAGATATATTAATCAGTAAATCGTGTACTGGTTATTACAATTCTGTACCTACCCACAATTTTTATTAGTTTAGGTGTATTAATCATTACAATTGTGTAAATTTGGTTTATTTAATATATCTATTTCTCTAGTGGACTTAAACGGTATTACCGTTCGAAATAAAATATTATAATGGATAATCCGATTCCATCCACTAGTAAAGGTAACGAAGAAGCTTCAAATAAACCACCTGTGAATGGTAAATCGAAACATAAAAGAAAAACACAAAGATTATCTGAATCATCTGATAGTAATAGCTCGTCAGAGGATTCGAGCTCTTCTTCGTCATGCAGTGATTGTAAGGGTCGGAAATCACGCAAAACAAAACGAAGGAAGAAGAATAAAAACCGTAAGTTCGATCAATTATTTAACGAAATTTCTAAACTTAAACAACAGGTTAGCCAGTCATACACTGCTAATGAAGAAAATTTCTGTCATAACAAGTGTGATAACGTTATTGACGCAAATGTGAGTGACAATTATGCTGAATCCAGCGGTAACTTTACTGGTGCAACCGCTCTTTCGGATACAGCTATATCCAATGAACCCGCGCTTACCAACGGTAGCCGGACAGAGTTCAACATATTGCTTACAACAAAAACAAAGGAACCTCACGTACCACAGGCACCGCCTGCATACGTGGAACAATTAAAGCTATTGCAGCGTTTCAATAACGAAGAATGGGTGAATGTTCGTTACGCGGATGTGCAAAAACAATACGTGCATCAACCAGGCTTTGTAAACTTACGAGCAAATGACGAGATCACCAGGTACGATACTTCACGGACCGCCTCTAATATGGAGAGAGCATTTGCTGATTTAACGTATGCTCTATTGAAACAGCGCGATGCGTTACAGAATGAGATAAACTTATTCTTAAACTGGGTTCACGAAACTGAAAACGTTAATTATGAGTCAATACACTCAAAACTCAATAATATATTTTCCAACGGAGAATATATGAAGGCCTCAAGTGATGCACTACAATTGGTTTGCGGTCACAGGGCCGAAATAATTCAGCAACGAAGAGAGACGATCCTAGCCTCGGTAAAAGATCCCTTTCATAAAAGCGCATTTCGTCGTATACCGCCGTCAATAGATAATCTCTTTGAAGCGGAAAAATTCAGCGCTGTTCTAG